CCGGCCTCCTCGGGAGCCGGGGCAGCTTTAAGGCCTGCAGCGTGGCAGGCTCGTGGGTGTGCCCGCGGCCCCTGGCGCACAGCGACTCTGAGAATGTCTATGAGGCCATCCAGGACGTGCGTGGCCCGCCACAGGAGCATCGACCAGAACAGGTAACCCTTGGGGAGCCAGGAGCAAAGAAACCGACGGGGGGCTTCACCCACTCAGAGCTGGGGCGCAAGGAGACCCCTCAGCCTTGCGTGCGTCCGGCTTTGGACCAGCTGGCCACGCCGAGCCTAACTTTCCTCAGCCACGAAACGAGGAGTACAGGCTCACGCTCTCATCTGCAATTCCCAAATGCCAAAGCTCCCCGGAGCAGAAAGGTTTCTTGTAACTCAGTTGATGGCAAAATTGACTTGAACCGATGTGCAGCCGTGGACGGCCTTTATTTATCTCATTTAGTGTGAGTATTCAAGTTTTGCTGCAGAAGTGCAAGTAAACTGGATTACAGGGTGCTGCCCAAGACTTGCTGGGAGCTTTATGTCACCTGTGGCAGGTGTGAGCACTGGTTTCCTTGCTAAAATTCGAACCATTCCGAAACGCATCTAGAACTGAGAGAAGGGATGGTGGACCTGCTACCTGCTCTACCTGCCTCATCTTTCTCTCATGAGCTTGGGCGTCAGAGGAGATAATGGATATGAAAGTCAGGGGTCAGCTTCCTTTTTTGGATGGTTCCAACATTTTAGTTCCTTTTTTTTTTTGTTACTTTTCGATGGGTTTGTTTCAGAAAGAAGTCCGGTTATAATGAGGGTGTTCATTATGACTCAGAATCCAGTTATGCAAATTTAGAAAATCTAAAATAGAGCACGTTTTAAAAACACTTACATCCTCAGAATCCTTCGGCAGCCCTGTTATCTTCAACTTTAGGGACTTTTCAGGGTGAGGTGGGGGTGCACAGACCCCCCCCCCCCCGACATCTGCCACAGCTGTGTAATTATGGGCAATTCACTTCCTCTGTCGGAGTCTCAGTTTGTGTTTAGACCAAGGGGGTTGGGGGGTATGGTGGACGGATGACCCCTGAAACTTGTGAGTTTCTGATTTCCTTCTTTGGACCTAATATGATTACAATAAACATTGATGGGGGTGGGGAGGGTGTAGCTTAGTAGTATAGTCTATGCCTAGCGTGCACAAGGTCCTGGGTTCAATCCCCAGTATCTCCATTAATATAAATAAACCTAATCCCCCCCCCAAAAATTGATGCCTGCCACGTGTCAGTACTGAGTCTGAGATACCCAGAAGAAGGAGGCACTGTCCCCATCTACGAGCTCCTGGGTCTTCCCTCCGCCTGGTCTCGTTATAGTGCAGAGTTCAGGATATGAGCTACAGAGACTCGAATTTGACCCTGATGGGTGACCTGCCGGGTGACCTGCCAGCTGCTGATGAGCCACTTCATTCCCCCTGCCCCGATGTCCTCGTGTGCACACTCAGGATAATACCAAAGGATTAGGATTGCTGAAAGCCTTAAATGAGGTGAGGTGTGGAAGTGTTTAATACATAGTAGGCGGCCACCAAGACTGGCTGCGGTCCCAACTGGGTATCTTTTCTCTGGATCTGTGCCGCCTTCGCTCCCATTTCTGCAAGGGACACCTCGCTCCCTTGTGGCCAGAGCAGAGAACAGCATGGGGTGGGTGGGGAAGGAGATGTGCACCTGGACCAAGAAACCCCAGAAGAGTCGTGGGGGTGGAGGAAGTGGGGCGAATCCTTGAGTCAAGCACCTCTGCCAGCCGGATTAGACAGCTTCTTTGGGACAGATGACTGGATGTCATGGCTCCTTCCCTAGGCTCCCATTCGTTTCCTGGGCAGGCTCTTGGCAGTGTGCTCTGGGGCCTCTCCATAGTTTCTGTCCTAGTGATGGTGGGAGTGTCTGGCCCTTGCAGATGCGCTCCTCACTCCTTGCTCCTCGCTCCTCCAGGTGGGAGATGGACCTTGCTCTCTGAACCCCGGCACCCATCATAGGGGCTGGCACAGAGTCTGTGCGGAGTGTGTTGAAGAGGGACGAGAAGAGGCAGCCCCTTTACCATAAGCCCAGGCTTTGCATGTACTTCCCAAGAGACAGCACCCAGAGCCCAGGACCAAGGTGGGAGAAGGAGATAAAGACCCCCAGATACCAGTACCTCTTGAGAAAATAAATCACCTCCGTAGCCAGGGTCACTGCCCCTCCTAACTCCAGCTCCAGCAGGTGCAGTGGTGTGTTGGGGGTAGGCAGACATGGAGGAAATGAGGCATCTGCCAGAAACCTGGGTTTTGGTGGAGAGGCTCTGCGTCATCCCACTTCTGGTCCTAACTCACTGTGTGTCCTCAACAGGTCACTTAGCATCTCTGATCCTGTTTCCTCCCCTGCCTAATGGGTAAACACCACACTCCCTGTTACCCTACTTTATTCAAGTGTCAGCCATGGATTTCCCTTGATACTTTATCCCCAACAAACTCCAGTGGTGGGGAATTGGTTCCCTCCTGAGAAGGAAATCCCACCCTGCTCTCAGTTGTTCAAGGTCACATTTAGAGAAGGAATTTCCTGAATGGCAAGCCTACCTGTTTGCTCCTTGGAGGAAGCAGGAGAAGCAGGTCCTTACCTTTCCCCTTTATTCACTCAGAGGGAACTGACTGAACACCTGCCAAGCACCAGGAGAGCCTTTGGATCTAAAGGTGACTGAGACATAACCCCAGCTCTGGGGGTTCACTGTCTAGGACAGGAGATTGGCAGGAGGAGACAGATGTTTCAGTGGCATAGGCCATCTGTGATAGAGCTGCACTCAGGGTGCCAAGTTGCCTGGGCAGAGGTGGAGGTGTGAGATGTGGCACCTTCGGGCCTTACAGCTGGGGCTCAGAAGCGGGAGGTTTGGGGGTCAAGATCATGCCTTGCCAGGCAAGGCCTTGTAGGCTCTCAACAGGAATTTGGACTTTATCCTGCAACCATTGGAAGGCTCTCAGCAGAGAAGGGAGTGAGGTTGAGGAAAGACCCCTGTGGCTGGGCCTTTGAGAAGGGTGGAGGACCTTTGTGATCTCCTGGCACACAGTGATGACAGGAGATTTGGGAGGCAGAAGTAGCAGGACCTGTGGCCAGTGGGCTGAGGGGGGTGGGTGAGAAAGAGAAATTAGAGTTCCAGCCTCCCAGTTTGCACACCTGGGCAGACTGCAGTGCTGTTTACTGCGGGGACAACCAGGGAGGAGGGGGTGGAGGAAAGATGCGGTGCCCACTTTGGCAGAGCCACGTACAGGAGGCAGTGGGGTGGCTGGTGGAGCCGTGGGTGTGGAGAGAGTGGGAACGTGGGAATGGGAGCATGTCAGACAGCCCTGGGGGCCACTGCGTTTGGGAGGAGAGAGGAACATAAGAAAAGAACAGCTGGGGAACAAGGAGGAAAGCAGGAGAATGCTGGCCCAGAAGCTGGAAGAAGGGTCCAGATGAAAAAGGAATTTAGATAAAGGCCATCGAATCTTTATCAGAAGTGGCCACCAGAAGGCCAGCAGCCTCCTTATCTGCAGCTGGTCAACAGGTCGCTGAAGGCAGAGGGCAGAGGGTCAGAGGAATGAAGGTGAGGATACAGTGTATACAACTCTGAGAAGCCTGGCAGGGAGAGGAGAGGCTGTGCTGCCAGAGGTGGATGTAGGTCTAGGGTGGAGACTCCCCGAAATCTAAGTGAATAGGCAGAACTGGGAAGAGGGGGAGGCTAAGGATGCATGGAGGGGGTAGGTGGTAAGATATGAGCTCCAGAGAAGGGAGTGAGGGAGGGGCCTGGATGAAAGAGGGAGTGATCTGCTTCCTCTGAGGCGCAAGGATGTGAGGATGAAGGTGACATGGGCTCATCAGGGAGGGTGGGAACAGTGTCCAGTCAATAGACTGCTGGACTAGGGGAGAGGTGGCGAAGAGGGCAGGACAGTCGATGAGGAGAGGCGGGGGCTGTCCCCCCCGAGAAGAGAGGAGCCTCTACCACTGTAGGGCATTTTACAGCCTTGTCATTCACCATTCACCATTTACTAGGCTAGCACTTAACAAGCATCTCCTTGTGCTGGCCACAGAGGACACAACACATGGTAACACATGACAATCCCTGTCCCAAAGGTGCTAACGGCCTTGTGGGTTCTCTCTAAAAGACTCATCCTCTCGGCAGCTCAGCAGGCAGACATGAGTACCCTCCCCACATTTGCCCTGAGTACAAAAGTTCAGAGAGGTTTAGTGACTGGCTGAAGGTCACACAGCCAGGAGGTGGCTGCATCCAAGTCAGTCCCAGGCCTCCTGACTCCAAACCCCATCCTGACGACCAGGCTCAATCTCAGACAGGTGGTTTTCAGGCTTGGCCACCCTATTCCCCTCAGCAAGGACAGTATGAGCCCACAGCAAACAGGTATTCACTTTTCTGAGTGCCCTGTAGGTGCCCAGAGCTGTCGTGGGCATGGGGGCAGGGAGGAGGCAGAATTGCAAACCTTTCCCTTGCTACCTGCAGCTACCTGTGTGGTAGGAGAGTGAGATGTCCCAGGAGAGGGCAGAAGCACACCCTTCTGAGGAGGGAAGGAGGGTGGAGAAAGGGGAGGGCTCTACCTCCCCCCCCCCGCCCCCTCTCCCCTTACAGGGGAAGCCGAGTGAGCAAGGGCCCTTTGAGATTCCTCCCCAGTGGCTGCAGGGCCCACCCCTGGGTGAGGGCAGTCCAGACCCAAGGATTTCAGGGTGTGGTCACCCTGCCGGCCCACGCCCCTAAACTCAGGTGGGAAGGCCCAGGCTGGCCACCTGGACTGGAGCCCGCCCCCGCTGCCGGGCCATTGGCCACTAGGAGGAAAGAGTTTCAGCCCCAGCCTCTGAGGCTTCTTATGCAAACAGCCCAGGAGGCACCACACCTGAGCAGGCTCCCAGCCGGGAAGGAGCCCCAGGGCCCTCATTCCTCCCTCCTCCTCTGCCGGGAACTGTGAGTGACCCTTCACCGCCGAGGGAGTTGGGACCTTAGGGGAGGAGGGGCATGCCACGCAGTATTCCCACTCCCTCTCCTCCCTCCCTGACTCCCCTTCCCGGCTGTCTTTCTCTGTACCTGTCCTAGAACCCACCCGGTGACCCCTGCTGTGAGGTCCCCACCCCAACCCTACTTCTCTCTGCATCCCAGCCCTGGCACATACTCCCCAGGTCAACCCCAGGCAGCTGAGGTTGAGATAAAGGAACTGGCCTTGGGCAGACGCACCTGGATTTCCCTTTGAGGCCAGCCAGGGGGCTTCTGGAAAGGGGGGTCTGGAAAGAGCAGGGGAGCTGAAGCCAAGTGGAAGGTCTAATGAGTCCCCTGTCCATACTCCCTCCTTCCAACAACTCTTCCCTTCCCCCATCAAGGCACTGCCCTGGGGTAGCCCAGCTGGTTTCTTCACACTTGACTGGATACCCTCCCCATGACTCATCTGCTGACCCACACTGACCCAGGAGCCCCACTGCCTAGCCTGTATTCCAGTTTGTGAAAGAGCAGGTTCTTGGGTAGCCCCCTCCCATCCTCACCCCGCATTCCTGGGCCTCATTTCACCCCTCAGTGTCAGGTTCCTTTCAGCAACACCCCCTACCCGACCGGACCCTACCTCCAGAGACAACCCCGTGGCAAACCCACCTGCCACTTCCTTCCTGAGCCCCCAGAAGCTGGCCTCACTCTCCATCTATTTTCTCCCCTCTTCCTGGAGCTATCTATTCAACAGGGAGGGGGCCGGGCTGTTGGTACTGACTGCCAGCCTCCATGGCCAGCCAGGGCTAGCTCCTGGCCGTGGGAAAACCCATGATCATGACCAGGTGTAGCTGATGACCACGGTCAAGGTTCCACGCCAGAGTGTTGGGGAGACTTGGAGCTGAATCTTAGTGGGCTAGCAAGGGGACAGTTGATGTTGGCTGGTGTCGAGGGAAAGAGGGTTGCCAGGGCTGGGTCCCAGGGAGGGATGCTTGCTAAAATCCAGAGACTCTGTTTCCAAACTGGAGAAGGCTTGTGGTACTGAGGGGATTTCCAAAGCTGCTGCCTAGGCAAGGTGAGGCCTGCAGGACCTTTCTGTCCAGCCCAGGCTCTGGGCTCCTATGGGTGTTGCCCTACATCCTCTCCTTGCCCTGCCTGGAAGTCTCCTGTGAGCATGCAGGTAAGCAGGCCAGGCTTCATATGTGTCCTAGTGGCTGGGCCCACTTGTGCCTGAAAGAGGAAGCCCAGAGGGGGCCAGAAGGAACCTGCCTCCAGATCCTTCCAGCCACCATCCTCTTGCAGCCCTACATCTGAGTATCCCGCCTTGTCAGAGTTTGTAAATTACTGTTCACCCTATAAAAATAGTTTAACCCCATTACAAATATTTGAATGATGGGGGGAAATTTCAATCCAGTGACTTAGCATTTTGGTTTCTCTCCATAATTATGAATTTATTTGTGGGCAAGTAAATTATTATTTTAAGTTTTCAAAATTTTTCATAGACATAGAAAAACTGTTTATTTTCTGTTTGAGGGATGTAAGTTTCCATATGTATCAAATCAAGGTTATTATATTATTCAAACGCATTTCCTTTATATGCTTTTTTCTTTTGCTCTGATTCTGACAGAAGGTTTTTAAATCTCCTACTCAGATTTTCTCTAGAAAGTTCTTGCACTTTTAATAGTTTTTGCTTTTTCTATTTAACTATAATGCTGTTGGGAGCATATAGATTATGACTGTCCTGTCATCACAAATTGTGCCTTTGTGTCATTTTGTGGTGTCCCTTTTTAACTTGCTTAGTGCTTTAATACAAAATCCCACCTTTCTGTTATTAATATGATCATGCTTCCTTTTTATGTCATTTTATTCTATTTTTTTGCACTTGCTGATCTCTCTCAGTATCCTTTTATTTTCAGCCATTTTCATTTTTCCAAAAGCGTGTTTCTTGTATATATCATATCACTGTAATTTTAAACCCATGCCGACTGTCTTTTAATGGAATAATTCAATCTGTTCACATTTCATTTAACAATCGATACACTGTCCTTGGTTTTATTACTAGTGGTTGATTTTGCATTTATTGGTTTACCTTGTGGTTTTCTTCTGCCCTTCAGTAAAGTTGCTGTTGATTCCCTTTTTCTCCCGTTAACCTCTCGTCTTGCTCTGCTTTCCTTGTCATTAGTGGCTTCTGCTTTTTCCTGGGCTTCCTAATCAGATATGTTCCAGGGTGTGCTATGATGGGGATTCTTTTTCTCAGCAATCCATCTGGAAGTCACAGAGCCCTCTTAATCCGTAGACTTGAGTTATTTTCATCTTAGGGAAATCTATCTGTTGCCTGATTATTGTTTGTTTTTTTTCTTTTTCTTTCCTTTGCCTGTTCTCTCTCCTGAATGATCCCCCCCCTTTTTTTATCTGTTCCCTCTTTATTTCTATCTCTATGTACTTTTGCTGAGGTTTGAGATACTTCTGCTTGATCTCCCAGGCCACAAATTTAAATCTTGAGAGTGACTATCTCCTCCTTCAATAAGTAGTACAATGATATATTTTAAGTTCTAAAGCAGTCCTTTTTTGTTCTTCTGTGCTTTACTTGCAACTTCTTAACAGTTCTTATTTTTTGTTCAAACTATAATTATATTTTCAGCCCCTCTAGCTTGTTAATAGCTTTGATTTTTAAAAAATAAGTAATATATTTACATGATTTTTTAAAGTCAAAGCAATATTTTAAAAGTACATGGCAAGAATTCTCATACCCCTGCTTCTATGCCCTGTTCTCCATCAGCTCAAAAGTCACCACTTTTATTCATTATTTCTCTATTCTTCAGAGTTTTTTTTATACAAATACAAACTACTATGAATGTATTTTTTTTTAGTATGAATGTATTTTTGATTACTTGATTTTCTGTCTCCCTACATAAAGGTAGTATGCAGTATACGCGGTCCTAAACCTTTTTTTTTTTGCTTTTTTGAGTTAACTATGTATCTTGGAGGTTGTACTTGAAAAGCATCCATCTCCTTTTTTATAGCTACATGAGTTCCCATCATAATTCCTTTAACCAGTCCACTGTTGATGGACACATGGATTGTGTCCTATCTTTTACTATTACAAAAAAAAAAACCCGTAATAAGTAATCTTTTACACCTGTACAGGTAAATTGAGGATAAATCCCAGAAGTCTGGTTGCAGGGTCAAAGGGTAAACAGTAGGTATTAGTTAGATGTTGCCAAATTGCTGTGTGTAAGGCTTATACCACTTTGTTCTCCCCCCAGCTCAAATGAGCATGCCTGTTTCCCCACAGCCTTGCCAACTGAGTGCTGTCAAAATTCTGTTTTCCATCAATCTGAGAGTAAAATATGTTATCTTAAAGTAGCTGGAATTTGCATTTCTCTTTCCAGTGAGGATGAGACTCTTTTTCAATATTTAAGGATTGTTTAATTTTCTTTTTTTGTGAATGGTCTGTTGATATTGAACCATTTTTTGATTGCGCTATTGGTCTTTTTCTTATTGATTTCTAGGAGCTTTTCTATAACATAGAAAATAACCCTCTGTCTGTTGCATCAGCTGTAATCCCATATTAGAGTTTGTCTTTTGACTTTGCTGTGGGTATTTTTTGGCCACACAAGTTTTCTTAAATTACATTTATGTAGTCAGATGTAAAAATCACTTATTTTATGGCATTTAGATTTTGAGTCTTTGTTACAAAAGCCTTTTTTATAGAGAATTTTGCTCATATTTGCCTCTGAGTATTGTTGTTATGGCTTCACTTTTTACATCTGAATCTCTGCTCCTTTGAGGGTATCTCTGGACAGAGTGAGAGGGAGACTCCTGGTGGTCATCCAGTGGTCCCATTACCTTTTATTGACAAGTGCCTCTTCCCTCCGTGATCTGTGATGGTGTCTTGAGTGTGTTGGGGGTCCCGGCCATACTGGGGTCTGACACAGTACCCTTTTTGGTTGTTTTTTGTTCCACCTCTCTCCAGCCACTGGGTTGTCAGAAGAATGGAGTTTATTATATGTCTTTGCTCACCAGGGCTAGGGGTGCGCTGTTGGGGTGCCCCACTTGGTAGGGGAGTGGTGGTCTCTGCCAGTGGGCCTGTGGGACTGGGCAGGTGTCGAAGACATGGGCAGGAATTCTCCCTGCTCCCTGCTTCGTCAGCCTTAAGGGCAGGGAGTGCTCAGCCCAACTGCTTGGGTCCCCATCAGCCAGGGGTCAGGTACCAAGGCTCAACCTGCCTTCCCACTAGGGTCCCATGGCCTCCCGGTTTGCCCTGGGGTTTCCCAGGTCCCAGGCCCTCTCGCCTCCTCCAGCCCCCGCTTGGCTTGGGCAGTAGAAGGTAGTAGTTGGGATAAGAGGAGAAGCAGGACATGTTTAAGCTGCCGTATTTCCAGAATCCCTGGCCCTAGAACTACATCTTAAAGTGAGAGAAAGAACTTTGTCTCTGATAGATTGGAGTCGGGGAGAGCTGGAAGGGCCAGTCTGTGTCCAGATAAGAAATACTGAATACCTCATAGAGTGTAACACTAAGGATGCAGAATAGTTAAAAATTTTTTTGAGGTTTTTTTTAAACTTTTTATTATGAAAAATTTTCAAACATACAAAAAAGCTAAAGGAATACTAAAGTAAATAGACGTAAACCTATTATCTAGATTGAACAATTACTGATGGCTGCATTTGTTCTTTTTATTTCGCCAAGAAGAAAAATGATAAAAATTGTAAATTCCAGACTCCATCGTATTTCACCCCTGAAAATGTCAGCATGCATCGCTGAAGAATGTTTTTCTCCATAATCATGATACCATTATTGTATCTTAGAAAGTTAACATTAATTCCTTAATATCATCTAAAACCCAGGCCACAGTCAAATTTCCCCATTTAACTTAAAAGAAATCTCCCACAGCCGGTTCAAACCAGGATCCAATTCAATGCATTCTTTGCATTTGCTTGTCTCTTAAATCTCTCTTGACAACCCCTTCCCTTTCCTTTTGCCCTGAAAGGGACTTATTAAACAGACCAGACCAGTTGTCCTGTAGAATGTCTGCTTTAGATTTGAGTGTTTGTTTCCTTGCGGGAGGGTCCGTGTTCCTCTAACCCCTGGGTTACCTGGGGACTGGCTGGTCTGCAAGGCGTCTGCAAGGCTTCTGCAGGTCATGTTGCCAGGGCTCAGTGACAGATGATACAAGGGAAGCAGGAATCAAGGGTGACTCTAGGTCTTTGCTTGAGCAACAGAGCTGATGCTGAGATGGGGAGGAGGAGGAGGATGAAGACAAACTCAATTTGGGAACATCCATCTTTTCAATGTACCTAGGATGTCTCAGGGGGCAGTTGGATTTCTCAACCTGGAGATACAGTTGCAATTGTTAACCTAATAAAGCTGGTTGAGCCTTCCCAGATCAGCAGAGTGAAAAGCAGAGATGAGACACCAAGCACCCAGGAGATGGGCGGAGGAAGAGGAGGCAGACAGAGAGGTCATGGCCCGTGGCGCTCCAGAAAAGGGAGGGTTATAAGGACTCAGTCCTGGAGAGGAGTCAGGCCACACCAGGGCCCAGTCTGTTATCAAGGAAGTTGTAGGAGATCTGAGCAGGGCACTGGGTGTGAGTGAGTAGACCATGAGATGGTAGGCACACATTCCTTCAAGAAGTTGGCTTTGAAAAGGAGGAGGGGAGGGCTGCATCCAGGGACACACTTCTTTTTCTTCAAGGTGGAGAAAACTTGAGTTTGTTGAAATGTCAAAGAGACAAAGGCAGTCAGGTGGAAGGGACTGAGATTTGAAGTGAGGCAGCTTCTGGGTAAATGAGAGGCAGTCGGTTTCCCTGAGCTTGGACAGGAGGTCCCTGCATCCCCAATCAGGGGAGGGAGAAGGAGTGGTGGGCCCAGGTGCAGGTTCACCTGAGGGAGTGGCAGAAGATGACCACCCTGTCCCATTTGCCCCCTCCCAAGGTGGGAGCCTGCGAGCAGAGTCCTTGGGAGACCATTTCTCATTCCTCCTGGCCCAGCAGCAGGGGCCCTCCTGGACATCTGCCGGCCTTACTCAGAGCACAGCGGGCGGTGAGTGGTGAAGGGGCTCCACCCCAGGCCCCACTCCACCCTGAAGGAGCAGGCCGAGCAGGCAGCCCCATGAGGTCACCAAGAGGCTGGGGGCAGAGTCCAGAGCCAAGGGCACTCAATCACTCAATCGAAACCCAAAGCCAGAAAAGCAGAAGTGCAGCCCTGTTTTCTTCCCCGTGTCCCATGTGGGTGTGGGAACTCAGGCGCCTGCTTGGCTCTTTCACACCAACGAGACCTGGGAGTGGGGAGAGAATGACAGCCCATTCCGTGGATAGAGAAGCTGAGGCAGAGATTCCAGGGGTGGCCCGGAGAGAAGTTGAGGCAGAGTCTACACAAGAAGCCAGGTCTCTAGACTCTGGCTCCATTCTTTTTTCCTTTTAATTGAAGGAAGCTTCTGTCCCAAAAGAAGAGAAGCGCCACCTCGGGCAGGCCACCAGGTTTGGAATCTCACCCTGAGGGCCTCTCAGGGGCAGGTCCAGGCTTGGCTCCCTGTATTCCAAAACTTGATGACCTGGACCCTGCCTGGCGACCCTAGCCTCCCCGTTGCAATACGCTGGTGGACGCATCGCTCAGGGTTAGGGGTGGATACTGGGTGAGGTCTGGACTCTGTCCTGAGGAGGTGTGCTCAGGGGAGGGCCGGATGCCAGAACAGGGGCAGTTCTGTACACACAGCGGCCCTGGGGGCAAAGATCACAATTTATTCCCGCTCCCCGCCACCCCAGCCCAGGTGGCACAGAGCAGCCTCAGAGTCAGCCAGGGAGGCCCTGCCCCACTACCACCAGCCCCATTAGCCAGTCCCTGGGCTCGAGGTGCTAACTGGCAGACATTTCTTTTGCCTCTGGCCCCAGAGAGCTGATAGAACTTTCTGGTTGCACCTGCTCCTGCCCTAACACTTCTGTGAGGGTTTTGGAGAGAAGGGTGATGTGCAGCTGGCTTGTTCTGTCCCCTCCCCAACCATGTGCCTCTTGAGGCATGAGGGTGTGGTGAGGCAGGAGGACCCCAGGGGGATCCACTGTGGTCACCACCTCCTCTCACTAGGGGAGGGGAAGCCCAGGCAGGAGGCCCGAGGAGCCACCTTGGTGACCAAGAGTAGCCCAGAGCTGTGTGGGTTTTGCTGGGTTCCCGTAGTGTATGGCCAGAGCCCAGAGGGAGACCCCAGGTGTGAGAGCCAGGCCTCTTACTGGGGAGGAGCAGCAGGTGGGGCGCTGGCTACACTTTCTGTGGTCCCAGCCACCCTCCCCACCACTGTCACTCCCGGTCCCTGCCACAGGGAGACCCTGCTCCCCAGTTCCACCTGTAGGGCAGTGCTGAGGTCCTGAGATCCCACCCTAGCTCATCCCTAATGGCTCCGCTGCCCTGAAATTTACAGAGGCTCTCCTGGGCTTGGCTCCGTCTCTCTTGGTGGCCTGTCATATATGTGTGTGTTTGATCCCTGGCCCTCAGGGTGGGGGCAGTGTGACATGTCATGTGTATGACAAATATGAGGACTCTAGGCCTCTCTGGGGGATTAGTCTGCCCCTGGGCTCTTAGACTTCTGGGCTTCTGAGTAAGGGTCTCCCCAAGAGTCCCAAACCCCAAACCCACGCCATGCCTGGCTTTCCTTGGGTGTCCCTGTCCTGAGCCCACTGTGGGTGCAGGGGAGGAGAGCCAGGGCTGGGGGCCAGAGGATTATTGAAATGGACAAATGGGAGTTGTGGGGTCTGGGATCCAGGTGGGAGGGTGAGGGCCAGAGGCTGAACAGGAAGCTGGGCAGTCAGTGCGGGCGAGTCTGCCGGCTGGCAGGTGGCAGGCACTTGGGGCTGGGGAGGAAATTGCTCTGAGAGGGTTAATGAAGAGATGGTCCCCAGGGGCTTGGAGGAGGGGCCACAGCTTCTCACCCAGGACTTGCTGTGTCCTCTGTGAACACCCATCTGGTGAGGGGGTGAAGAGAGGAGAAATCAGAAGAAAGCTCTTAGGGTGGGGTGGGGGAGCTAATCCTTGTCCCCCTTCTCTGGGTCCTTGGAGAGTGGGGGAGGGGCACAGGCATGTTTGGGCATGCAGGTGGGGATAGTGACCATGTATCTTGGTGACCAAGGCTGAAGGAGGCAGACCCAGGCAGTCAGGCGGGTAGATGGTGGTGTGGTCAGAATCCCTCCTCTTCTCCACGTGGCTGGAGGGATCTGCTCCCTCTGATAACCACATCTGCCCAGACCCCTTCCTTTTTGAGACATCCCCCCTCCGCCATACAAGCTTCCTCTTTTCCATCACATGCTCCCTGGGCCTTGGAAGAGTTGACAGCCACTCACTGTCCTGTCTACACCAGCTCAGGCCCCCTCTGCCTGCCGTATCTGCCGTATCCCCCACCCACAGGCCCAGTGCCATCCTCTGTGGATCTTGCTCTGTGGCTATGTCTGGGCCTGGGCCTCAGAACTCACTGATAATCAGAGTACTGAGTGGAGTGGTCACTGGTGTCCCTGAACACACACACCCCTGATCTGAGGCACCCGCACCCCACCCCACCCTGTCTCAGGCAGCCTCTGTCTCAGGCAGCACTTCCGCAGCCCTGACAGGAAATGGGTTGGAGGTTCAGCCTCCCGCCATCTCAAGGCAACTTCTTGTTCCCGTTGCCCTGTGCCAGCCCTGAGGTTGTACCCTTTGGCTCCACCCCCAAAGCCTTCCCAGGGCTCCATCCCAGCAGCTCAGAGGGGACCATTTGGACATGATTGCCAAATTAACCAGGAGGCAGAGTCGGGGCCCGCGGGGACAGGTAGGCGACCCTGGCTTTAGGGGATGAGCTCAGCCTCTGATGGGGGTGGCGGAGGGGCCTGTAGGGTCGAGAGGCTGCCAGTGGGCCTCCATACTCTGGCCCTGTTAGGAGCTGAGTGAACGGGGTCCGGAGCAGGGAGCCCCACAGAGGTTGAAGACGCCTTTCTTTCCTCTTTCCTTCTCCAAGATCCCGCCTGTCTGATAGGGGCAGCAGAGGGATGCTGAGAGGTGGTGAGCAGCTTCGGGGAGGAGAGGCAGGCCTGTCACCTGCATGTGGGCAAGGGGAGGGAATCAGAGACAAGCAGGGCACTGGGGACTGGGCAGCGGGGTGTGGTGAGAGCTCTCGTGGCCTCTCCTGGCTCTGTTCTCTGGCCCGAAGTGGGAGACCACTTCCTTTTTCCCACTCGGTGCCCCTGTGTTTCTAAAGTGACTGGAATCTGGGCTCCAAGTGCCCTAGTCAGACCCCTGTCGATGGGCTATGTCTGCATCTAGTTCGGGTAGCCCAGAAGTTGGGAGCAGGGAGGGGGCAGCCCTGCGAGAGCTCCCCCTTGAAGGCCTGAGGGCCTGGAGGGCCTGGAGGGCCTGGCCTCACCTGGCTCCCAGGGGCCAGTCTGCTCCTGGCTGCGGCTCTGCCGGGAGAGGAAAGCACCTCTACCTTGGTCCTGTGGGGGCTTGACAGAAAGTTCCAGAGCTTGAAGGGGCCTCAGGGCCACTTCAGTACAGCTCTGTCCACAGGGCTGCAGCGGCCCTAGCAGGGGTGGGACTCGGCTTGCCACCTCCAGTGAAGGCCCCTCACAACCTCCTGAAGCCACCTGTGTCTCTGAGGAAGCTCCAGTCCTGAGACTGGGCTTCCCTCCAAGGGGCATTGCTCTGCCCCCATTTGGCCTCTGATCTGCAGTCTGGAGTCCCACAGTGTGATTCTGTGTCTCTTCTCTTCCCGGTGACAGCTCTGTCACATGGGGGGCAGGGCTAAACTTCTACCTCCCAGATCTCCTCTGTGCCTCCTGGGAGTGTTCCTTGTACGAGAGCCCCATCAGCGCAACCAGCCTGGGGCTCCTCGTGGACGTGAGAGTTGGTAGATTGGCTGTGTGCTGCAGGGCATTGGACCATCTGCTGGGGTTGCAGGGTGCAGTGTGACTGTGATCAGTTACAACATCCTGGGTCTTACTCTCAAGAAAGTCCTGCCTTTGGGGGACAGAGAAGTTAGGCAGATGGGTGGACAATGAAGTGACCATCAAGGCAGAATGCCATCAGGCCCTAACAGTGACAAGCAGAGTGCCTGAGGGGTAGACTTCTCTTCGGAGGGAGAAGGTCTCCCCCAGGTGAGGCTTGTGAGCCGGGTGCCAGCAGAGAAGCAGAACTTGACAGGCAGACCTTGGGTGGGGGACAGGGGGTTCCAAGCTGCGGGAACATCTGCAGCAAAAGAACGCGGTTGGAAGATGCCTTTTGTGCTTGGGGGAGGGTCAGCAGGCTGGTGTGGTTAGAATACAGGATGCCACAGGAGGGCTGTCGGTGACAGAGAGAAAGGAGAAGTGGGGTGCAAGGTCCCATCTCAGCCACACAAGGAGCTTGTGGGGTGAGGGAGAGGAGTGCGGAACTGGCAGACTAGTGGACCCACCTCTTCCTGCCCCTCAGTGCCTGGGACCTGCCACACTTTCTAAAACGGCAACACCCCCTTCTATTTTTGTTTTATTGTTAGCAGCAATCACCACTGATGTGCTGTGCGTTTCACTGTCAGCCTGCTTGGTTCCCCTCCCCCCACCACTGACACACATGTGTACTAGAGTGTCGGCCCTGCCAGGGCAGAAATTTGTGTCCATTTGTCCACGATGCGTTCCCAGTGCTGAGAACAATGCCTAGCACAGAGTGGGCGAATCTTTGCTGGACAAATGAATGTTCTTTCAGGGGCGTGCCCAAGGCCCGGTGAGAGGCCCCCTTGAGCAGGACAGGCTTCCCCTCTCAAGCAGTTTACAACTTAGTGTAGGTGTTATAGCAACAGAGGAACTTCTAGGATTTTTTTTAAAGGTGTATTATACAAAATTTTGAGGTTGCAGAAAAGTTTTTTAAAAATTAAACAAAAACAAGTCTAATTCCTAGAATTATACCATCCAGAGATGACCCTCCATTAGCATTGTGGAGGGTTTCTAAAACCACAAAATTGGAATTACGCGAAGTTTACTATTTTGAAATCTGCTTTTCCCTTGTACCATTATGCATTCGTAGAAAACAGTATTAATTTTCGCCTGCTGTTCTGCTGCCTGAGGTTTGATAGTGTCATTATCTGTCCTTCTGGTGGGTGCTAGGCAGGGTGTGGAGGGCACACAGGAGGAATCTTGGGAAAGATCTTGAGCTTGACACCTGAGCTGAGTTCTAAAGAAGGAATAGGAGTCATTCAGGTGAGAAAGAGGTGGGGATGAGCAGGCTGTGAATGAGCTGAGGCCTGTAGCAAAGGCAGAGACGGTGTGGGCCTCCAGCAACTCAGTGCTCCTGGAGCTTGAAGTTCAAGGCGGGGGTGGGGAGGAAGCGGGGAGGAGTGGCAGGAAAGAAGGTGGAATACAGGCAGCCCTGGTAAAAACCTAAGACTTTGCTCAGCAGGCAGCAGGCAGCAGGCAGCAGGCAGCAGGCAGCAGGGAGCCCTGAGAGCCTTGAGCATGGCCAGGCTTATATTCTACGTGACTGGACCCTCCAGCCTACCTGACTTTCCTTTGGAGGGGGAAGTGTGGCTCACCTTTCTTTGCCCTGCCTTCCTCCTTCCCCACTGGCTCTCCTCTCTTTCTCTTGTCTGAAATTGATTTTGAGCCCTGCAAACTCTGTATTGGGGAAGTTCTAGCTCCAAATCCAGAGGCGTTACTGATTCCAGTCCAGATCCTTCTTTGTGGGGAAGGAAGAAGGGTTAGGGGCTGTAAAATGGAGCAGGGCCCTGTCCCCATGTGATGGGGTGGGGCAAGGGGGAGAAGGGACTGGTCCCAGGCCATTATCTCTATTCCTGCCCAACCTTTAACTCACACCTGTGAGCGTGCTGCTGGGAAAACTCCGTTATCAGTATTTTACTATTGTTAGTAAAGAATTGATGTAATTGTCCCACGCACCTGGGGCACTTCATAATTTACAAAGCACTTTAAGGAACATTTCCTCCGTTCTCTCTTTACTACGATTTCCGATATCCGTAGTGGACTGGCAGACATTTTGCAGCCGGGCAGAGAGGTGCTGTGACTTGCGGAATGTTGCCCAGGTGGCAAGCGCCCAAGTAGGCTCGATGCGACCCGGAGCTGCCCTGAAGGTCACGTCTCCTTCCTCCTCCCACAGGTGGACGACCCCCCGGAGCCCGTGTACGCGAACGTAGATAGACAGCCTCAGATCACGTCGCCGGGTGCCGCCCCAGACCCCTGCCCCGGCCCGGTGTGGGAAACACACACGGACGCGAACACTGGGCGCCCCTACTACTACAACCCGGACACAGGCGTGACCACCTGGGATTCGCCCTTTGAGGCTGCCGAGAGCACAGCCAGCCCGGCCACCTCCCCAGCCTCGGTGGGCAGCCACGAGAGCCTCGAGACCGAGTGGAGCCAGTACTGGGATGAGGAGAGCCGCAGGGTGTTCTTCTACAACGCGTTGACAGGCGAGACGGCCTGGGAGGACGAGTCCGAGGACCAGCCTGAGGACGAGCTGGAGATGCAGCCGGGCCTGAGCCCTGGCAGCCCCAGGGACCAGAGGGTGAGGGGCGGGGCCCTCGTCCAAATGGGCGGGGCCTAGCTAGGGTTGGGGGTCAGGCTCTGAGGGCCTTGGACCCGCCTCCTGCTTCGCAGTGCCCTTGGAACTGAGGGAGAGGGGCGGGGACTGGCAAGGGCTGGGCGTGGGTGGCTCTGAGAGCCTCTGACCCCGCCTCTCACTCCAAGGCCCTAGAGGAAAGTTGAGGGGGTGTGGCCCGGTCCGAAGGGCCTGCGCCCGGGGTGTTGCTACTGGCTCTGAGAGCCTCTGAGTCGTCTTCTGCTCCCTGCAGCCCCCCACCCCCGAGACGGACTACCCCGAGTTGCTCACCAGTTACCCTGAGGAGGACTATTCCCCCGTGGGCTCCTTCAGTGAGCCCGGCCCTGCCTCTCCTCTGGCCACACCCCCAGGCTGGTCTTGCCACCTGGGCCCAGATGGGCAGACGCTCTACATCAACAACTTCACCCAAGAACAGGTAGGGGCAGGGGGCAGGTGGGCCCAGACAGCCGCGGGGCCGCTCCCCTTAATGCTCTAAACAAGTTACCGCGCGGGCTTCATGCCAGCCTAAGACTATCACCCACTCCCGCCCCTTTAAACTCCTTGGGGTTATGTTGGGCTCTGGTTGGAGGAAACCTTTTGCTCTCCGCTCATGAGATGAGCTAGGGCATTCCTCTCCCCACAGTGGGTGAGGTTGGAGGACCAACATGGGAAGCCTTACTTCTACAACCCAGATGATGCCTCTGTTCGGTGGGACCTGCCCCAGGTAATGAACTGGGAAAGGAGAGTAGGGTAGGGGGAGTGGAGGGGATTATATATGACAGTATCTTTCTCCCCAGATCCCTGTCCCTGCCCCTCGACGCATCCACAGATCCAGCCAGGACAGTGAGGCCCCAGCCCAGGCCAGCCCCCCTGAGGAGAAGGTAAGGGAGGGGCATATTGGACCTGGCAGGACCTCCACAGAAGAAATGGGGGTATTTCTGCAGGTCCTGGAGACTTGGTTAGGCGTATCTCTGCCATTTGCCCCAGCACTAGCCCAGGCTGAGTGAACCTGGGACCTGGGTCATCCCAGGCTCAACTGCGTGAGGCTAGGAGCTGGAAGGAAACCTTTGTTGCTGCAGCTGCTGCTGCTGCTGCTGCTGCTGCTGCTGCTATAGCAGGCAGCCCCCTACCAGCGGCCAGGTAGCTGGGCTGGCAAAGGAGGTTCAGTGGAGACTCAGGCCTAGCCTGTGGGGAATTGCTGGCTGAGAGGGAGACTAGCCTCTGCCTCCGTCTCTCTGGTGGCTCTTCCCTTAACTGCCTCCTCTTTCCTCTCTAAGGTCAAGACCCTGGAAAAAGCAGGTGTGCTCCATCGCACCAAGACAGTGGACAAGGGAAAGCGGCTCAGGTGAGAGCCCATCTACCCCCAAACCAGGGCAGGGTGGGCCTTAATGATGACGTTCACTGAGCACTTCCTGTATGCCGGGCTCTTGTTAGTCCCCATAGTGATTTTATGAGGTCCTTTGAGGAAACCAAGGCACTGAGAGATAAAACAACTTGCCCAAAGTCCCTTGGCTACCAAGAGTTAGAGCTGGGAGTCCACACTTCACAGTTGGGTGTCCCAAGCTGTGTTCTTAAACTCAGTGTGCTGCTCCTGGGGGTAGGAGGGGGGCCTCAGCCCAGCGCCAAATCCAAGCTGTGTCACCACCCCACTTCCCCACCCCACCTAGGAAGAAGCACTGGAGTGCCTCCTGGACAGTGCTGGAGGGCGGTGTCCTGACATTCTTCAAGGACTCGAAGACCTCAGCTTCAGGTGGCCTGGTGAGGCCCAGGCTCCCAGGGCAGGGAGTACCCTATCTGCTCCTGACTTCCGTGGGTCTTTATCTAGTCTGGCTTGTCAAAAGCTAGGTCTGAGACCATGGAATATGAGTGTCAAGGGACCTGGGCCTTGGCGGGGGGTGATAAGAGGAGATGCACCCCAGGACAAGCACTTCCAGCCACCTTGGGCATGCGGACCAGTCCATGAAGATGGACAGCTCCAGCCTGGTGGGCAGGGAGGCTGGGGACTGGACACACCTGGTCGTAGAGATGAGGCTGCACTCCTTTCTCCTTTCCTCTCATAGGGGGCCAGGTAGCAAACAACCAGCCAGCCTGCAGGCTCCATGGTTAAGAAGTACTGGGAACTCTGGGTTCCAGGAACTCTTGGGCCCCTACTCCTGGAACTGTGATGCCATTCTATCCCTGGAGCCAAGGCAGCCTGGTGGATTGGAGCCAGGCTGCTGTGACAGGCCTATCTGAACATGCTCCCTCCAAACCTTCTTCCCTTTCCTGCAGAAGCAACCTTCCAAGCTCTCCACCCCTGAGTACACAGTGGAGTTGAAGGGGGCCTCTCTTGCCTGGGCCCCCAAAGACAAATCCAGCAAGAAGAATGTGCTGGAGGTGAGTGGTGGGGGTGGGGAGGAGAAGGGGCTTACTGATGGCTTGGGACCCTCACTAAGCAAGCTCCAAAAAGGAGGACCTGGGGAGAGTTGGGGCTGGAATTCTCAGGGCTCAAAAGCAAAGCTTCCCCCACCCTGGGGATCCATCCAGTGTTTCTGGCATCATGGTTTCTGCAGCTCCCTCTCTAGGAGCTGAGTTCATCAGAGTCCTTGGTCCTCAAGTAGGGGGTCTCTGGGAATGAAACTGTCATGTCTGGAAGGACAGTTCTCATCGCAGCTGTTTTGGCCTGAAACAGGAGACTCCTGGTCCCCAGCTACTTTCTGTCATAGGCTGGGAAATCTCCTCTGGCTGGTCAGATCCCAGCTTCCAACTGGAAGTGAATAAACCAGGGCAGTGGATACGTTTCTCAGGCTCCTCCAGCAGGAAGAGAGAGGCCAGGTGGGGCCCAGGCAAGACCATCAAAGGCCACACACCCTTTACCGTCCATGTGTCATCTGGCTTTCAAACTGCTCTTACTCTCACCTCAGTCCCCAAATGTCTTGAGGCAGTGCACAACAAAAATGCATATGATGATCTGGTAAAAGCCACTGAAAAGCCAAAACCAGGGAAAATAAGTTAGAGAAAGAGGTTAGTGAGAGGGATTAGGGAGCAGATAATGTACAGGCGCTGAGGTCATCATCGCTCAAAAAAAATCAGCTCCAGGTTTCTTGGTAGCCAAAGTGAAAAGAGAAGGGTGATTGGTTACATGGCTCTTATTAGGGGGAAAAAACCTTCCTAGATTTTGACAGAAATCAAAGCTTTTTCCTAACCATTGGCTCTTAAATAAATTTTTAGTGTGCGGCTCCATCTAGTTTAGTAAGGGACTCTTGAGGCTGCTTCAGGTAACATCTGATGACAGCCAAAAAGCATGACCTTCCCTCTCAGCTCAGAAAAAGCAATTCTGCAAGGAGCTTGAGTGTGTCATTTTGTGATGATTCACTCAACTTCGTTCAGTTCTAGAATAAGCATCCACAGAGCAGGGCTGGAAACCAGTTTTATCTCATGAGCTACCCTGATCAGTAGGTCAGGAGCCTTTTCCAGGCTTGGCAGGATATAGTGCTGTGATCAACTAGCAATGTCTGCTATGGTGTCATATTGAGGAAGGGCATGGCATTTGCTAGGCGTGTTCCTTCCTTGATCTAAGAAGGACATCATCCTTCAAACAGTGCTCCCTGAATGTCACCTCTCTGACTGGGCTTTTGATGAAAGTTTCAGAGTAGATACTTCAGTGTTGCCTCTTCTGGCAAGGACTGGAAGGCAGATGGTGCTCTTGGAAGTTCCTCAAGCTGATGCGGAGGCTGACAGCCTTGACTGGAAATCGAGGAGCCCCCTGTGGCCCTGCTGGCTGGCAGCCATCCTTCCTCCACTCAGGGGTGACCTGTAGGCAACTGTAGGATTTTTCTCATGAGACAGCCCCAAATTCTCTATCATTGAGGATGACCAGTTCTCCTAGACACCCCAGAGCCACAGAAAACTTCAGTAACAATCCCCTGAGAATAGCTGGTTTGAGCTCTGCTTGCCTGTGCAATGACCAGATGAATGTCCTGTGAAATGTATCTATAGGTCATCAAACAGCTTTGCTTTTATATATGAAACTCAAATATGAACTGATTATGTTTTTGAGAGAGCTGCCAAAAATAATGGCTATTGTTTTAGAAACATTGTTAGGCCATGTTCCGGGATAACAGGCAGGGCTCCTGTCAGTTCAGATTAGAGTCAGGCTGTGCTGTCTGCCCACTAAATGTCCTCTAGTCTTTGCAGGGAGTGGGTGGGGTAGAACATGTAGGTTTGTTTTGTTTTGTTTTGTTTTTGAAAGCATTTGCAATAGCATGCAAGTCTAAGTTAAATAGGTAGGCAGCCAAAAGACAGCCCTCTCTGATTCTGGAAGCTGTACTCTTGTCTGAGACAGTTTTTGCTGACTGACTCTCATTGGACCCAAAGCAAGGCTGGTGTGAGCTGCTGCAACCAAACCTCCCCATCAACCATGAACGCTTGGTTCTCAGAGCCAGAGGCTGAGGGGAGATCCTTCCAAGTTGCTGACCGCCTCACCTTGTTCTTTGTAGACTTTGTTAGGGAATGAGGACACTCAGGTGAAAAATAGCCCAGGCTGTTAATACCTGCTTGCTCCTCAACAGTATAAAATAGTGGCTTTGGGGAGTTTCTTTCATTGACTTTTTTTGCTGGTCATTGCTCTGGGTGAGGCCTGCCGTGTTCTGTGGCTAATGGGGAGGCAGGATGGGGCAGGGGAACATATACCAGACAGTTGAGCCATGCAGATCTGCTGCACTCAGAGCCTTGCTCCATCACTCACTAGCTGTGGAAGTTGCTTCAACTCACCGAGCCTCAGTTTGCCCATCATTTGCCCAATACGGAGATGCTGTCACCTACTGCTTTTAATGAGGTGGAATGCCTTGGCTTGGGGCGAGGCCCTTGCTCTATTAGGCTCTAAGTTCCTGGGGACAGGAACAGATCACCTCCATCTATGTATCTCCCCTGGGACCTAGCCCTGGGGCATACCCAGGGAACTGTTGATGACTGAATGACTTGTGTCCCACCAGCTGCAGAGCCGAGATGGCTCAGAGTACCTGATCCAGCATGACTCGGAGGCCATCATCAGCACCTGGCACAAGGCCATCGCCCAGAGCATCCAGGAGCTGGTAGGCAGAGCCTGGGGCTGCCAGGGCTGGTAGGGAGGGGATGGTCAGCTATTACACAGGGCAGCCAGGCCCACTGTGGGTGGGGGCCTCCACTCAGGCACTGGGAGTTCCATGGCACCAGTAAGTACCCCTCCCTGCAGATGCAGATGGGCTGCTGAAGAAACAGCCTTCAGTATGTGAAGCCAGCCTCTGTGGTTGGCCCTGCAAGAGGACTCTCCAGGTGGGCATATCTTAGAGGTGTGCCCCATTTCAAGGGAGGCAGGGGAAAAGTAAATACTCTGGTAAACAGCCTCAGACTGGAATGACAAGCTGAAACCAGAAAACATCATTTAAAAGAATTGAATTGAAGAGTCTACCATTTTTTAAGTTCAGTGTATCAGCTGCATAAGTCGTGATGGGGCAGGCCCCCTCTGACAGCTAGCTATTCACCTGGAAACAGCCTAGGGCTTTTCGATCCTTAATTCCCTGTGAGCCAACAGTGGGTGCCCTGTTTGGCTGTATTAATAGAAGTAGGAATCCAGATTCAGGGAGGGGATGCTGGTGAGGTTGTTGGCAGTGCTCTGGCCCCAGCCGGAACTTCAAGTTTGAACTGGGAGCCACATATTGAGGAATACTGACACAGTAGAGTGTGTACAGAGGAGCTAAAGAAAATTATGGGGGAAGGGAGCCAGGAACTGGGAGGTGGGTAGGGGTAGTCAGGATAAGAAAAGGTAGGGGAGAACAGAATGACTGTCTCCAACACCTGAAGGGCTCCACGAAGTTAAAGGAAGTGAACATTCTAGGTTCCCTGGTGGAGGTGAGGGGAGTTAATCTGGTTAAGGAAGCAGTGAACTAACTCTGCCTGGGAATCTCCAGTCCAGGCCTGCTGGGAGGGCACTTCAGGTCCCTCACCCTATCCCAGAAGGACCCTAGCTGGCCCCAGGCTCTCCTCTCTGAACCTGTGTGATTCTAGTCCACAGACCTGCCTCCTGAAGAGGAAAGCGAGAGCAGCAGCGTGGACTTCGGGTCCAGCGAGCGCCTGGGAAGCTGGCGGGAGGATGAGGCAAGGCCCAGTGCAGGTGTGCTGAGGGGTAAGGTGGGTGGAGGGGGATGGTGGGGGCATCCTTTTTTGGGGGGTGGGTGGGGTTAACGACCCAGCTGGGGCTGCTGAGCCAACCCTGGCGCCACCCGCTGACTTAGCCCCCGAATTTCCATGCGGCAGCTGCGCAGGCCCCGGGGCCCGGAGGCCAGGAGGGCGACTTGAGCAAGGTCCGGTACAAGCTCCGCAAGTTCCTGCTGAGGCGGCCCACGCTGCAGTCGCTGAGGGAGAAGGGCTACATCAGAGGTACTGGAGGGGCCCGGAACGCGGGGAGCCGCCGGTGGCCCAGGGGTGAGGCGGCGCTGACGAGCTTCTCCCTCAGACCAGGTGTTCGGCTGTGCGCTGGCCGCGCTGTGCGAGCGTGAGAGGAGCCTGGTGCCTCACTTCGTGCAGCAGTGCATCCGTACCGTCGAGGCCCGGGGTATGTACGCGCACCGGTGGGCTGAGCCAGGCACTCTGGGAGCCTGAAAGCCTCCTTTCAGGACCCCAGATGGAGACCCCCAGATGGTGCAGGGTCGAGGGGGGAAAGAACAGGAGCTCCAAAAGCGATCAGCTTTTGCCCCATCCCACCAAAGCTGGTGTCAGCACTTCCCTCTATTCCAGGGCTCGATATCGACGGTCTGTACCGCATCAGTGGAAACCTGGCCACCATCCAGAAGCTGCGCTATAAGGTGGACCACGGTGAGGCCAGTCCCCTGCCCCTGCCCCAGGCCTGAAGGCATTAAGTGATGGTGACCTCCTCTTCCTCCCTGCACCCTTATGGCAGATGAACGTCTGGACCTGGACGATGGGCGCTGGGAGGACGTCCACGTTATCACTGGGGCCTTGAAGCTCTTCTTTCGAGAGCTGCCGGAGCCCCTGTTCCCCTTCTCACACTTCCGCCAGTTCATCGCTGCCATCAGTGAGTGCCCAGGGGAGGTGGGACAGATGGGGTAGGGGTGGATCTGGGCTGCCTAGGACACTCCCTTGGCCAGGATCCCCTCCAAAATACTGGAAGCCAGCCCTCTCTGTTCCTCTCCCTCTCCTTCCCTTGCCCAGAGCTGCAGGACCAGGCCCAGCGCTACCGCTGTGTGCGTGACCTGGTGCGCACGCTGCCCGCCCCCAACCATGACACACTGCGGCTGCTCTTCCAGCACCTGTGCCGGTGAGGGAGCCTCGTGGGAATGGGGAGGTGCCCCAGCAGGACCCCCACAACTCCCCCCAGCTCTGGGCCCTGATTCCACCCACCCCTACCCCCGCTGCAGGGTGATCGAGCACGGGGAACAGAACCGCATGTCTGTGCAGAGCGTGGCCATAGTGTTTGGGCCCACGCTGCTGCGGCCTGAGACGGAGGAAACCAGCATGCCCATGACCATGGTGTTCCAGAACCAGGTGGTGGAGCTCATCCTGCAGCAGTGCTCAGACATCTTCCCACCACACTGACCAGGGGCCCCCACCCCGACCCCGCTGCTGGTGCTAGGAACCTGGGAGTGGGATGGGCTACAGTGGTCCTGCATACAAGCTGGGTGGCTGGAGGCCATGCGGCTGGACTCTATGTCTGAGAACCTCTGCCTCCTACTCAGTCCACAGGCCAGAGTGAGTTCTGCATCCCTTGGTTCTGAGGGTGTGGTGACCACTTGAGAGCAGTTCACAAAATGTGATTTTCACCCCCCTGATTGGTCTGTTTAGGGGTTAACTGGGTTCTGTTCTTTATAACAGCATCACCAACTGTGCACATGACAGAATGCGGGGTGGGGGGAGAGTGTTGTCTGGGACCGCCCTTGGTGGAAGGAGGAATTTGACTGAGGGGTTTCCTGACTTCCTCAGGCCTGCATCTGGTTGAGGCCCTCACAGACACCCTGTGGGTTCCCGGCCCTGTGCGTGGCACTGTGTCCATCATGAAGCAGCAATAGACAACTTCCCTGCTGCAGAAACAGGACTGACCCCACCCAGCCTGCTGCAGGCAGCTGAACCTGCCTTTCCCCAGGCTTCCGGGCTGAAGCTCCTGCCTAATAACTAGCTGACTGTGGACCATTTTCACCTACTTTTGTTTGGGGTTCTGGGCCTCTGCCCTCGCTGATCACTTGTGCTCTGTGCAAGGGGTTCTTCCGAGTTACTAAATGTGTACCCTGCACTTGACACTTCACATGCACCATTTCCATTTGCAACCCCATTTTATGGATGAGGAAGCTGAAGTTTCCAGTGGCAAAGTGACTTGTTCAGGATCTGGTGGGTGATTTGACCCTCCTGTGAGGGTGAAATCAGTCCTTTCAGTTACCCCCCAACCCAAGCATGGCCTTATGGGTAAAGCAATGAAACTAACCTGGGAGGATTCTGTCTGGGCCTGGGAGGTCCCTGAAGGCAAAGAGGGAATCTGCCCCAGCTGTCTTTCTGTGAGGGACAGGGAAATAGCACGGGCAGCATCCCCTAGCCCCTCTCAGTTCTCTGGCTGTCAGGTATGCCTGCCCAGTGCCGACCTTGCTATGAAAGCTGGGAGAGGCCTGCAGGGTAGGGGGAAGGAGTGCACGACCTCAGGAAAGGAATTGTGAACCCTGAGGTCATCAGCCCCCACTCCCCTTCAGTTTTGGGGGTCTCAGCCCCCTGCCCCACCTACCCATTCATTTATTCAAAAATAAGAGCTAATATTTATTGACATCTGTGTCATGCCAGGCATTTTACTTGGATAATTTCATTTGTTTCTCTCAGTTGATATTTATTATCTGCTCTTCTGTGCCAGGCACCGTGCCCTGGGACAGGGGTACCTCACACTGCCTCCCTGGTGGAGCTTATGGTCCAGCGGGCAAGGCTAACCTAAGGCCACCCTGACGGCCAGCAGGGCTGGGGCAAGAGTACAAACAGAGGCCTCATACTAGACATCAAAATGGTGTAAAGTTATAAATCAAGCTAACAACTGTTCAATAAAATGTGTTCTATTATCTTACTTCGACAAATACACTTTCATGATGATCTGGAAGGCCAGGTTCTAATGTAAACTTCTTTGACTCTTCCAAATTCCATGCCCAAATGGGTGGCATGAAAAGAGCTGGCTCTGCTCTCAGGCTGCACTCTCCCGCCCCATCTTCTCACTCTCAGAGCCATCCTGTCCTAAGGGGAGGTTCACGTGGACACACGTGAACACTCCAGTCCATGAGTGCAGAACACTGCCCCTTGGCCACCTTTCAGGGTCCACCCTGGAGGGAATAGGCCTGGCATCATTTGGGTAGGGAATTCTGGGGTCCCACATACCAGGAAGGGCCTGGGCTCCAAGAGGGCCCCACAGATCCCTCATCCTGTGGGGAGGGGCATAGACAGAGAAGGTCCAGTGTAGAACTTTCTAAAGTGGGACCTGTGGCAGGGCAGGGACCCCATCACAGGTTTAAGGGTGGAACTAAACAGATACTAAACACCTGACTACTTGGTTAACCATTTGAACAAGAGCTAGGAAAAAGCACAGGGTGCTCTGAAGATGTGTCACTGGGATGTGACTGTCCCCCTGAGATGTCTCTGCAGCAGCCACATTTGAGCCAAGTACTTAAGAATGAAAAGGAATTAACAGGGTGAGGAATTAAGGGAAAGGTGTCTAGTCAGAGAAACAGTATGTGCAGAGGCTCTGAGGCAGGAAGGGTTGTGGGGAGAACAAAACCTGAGAGAAGCCCATCGTAATGAGCCCACAGAGCCAGTGGGCATGGATGTGAGGCGATGCTGGGGAGACTGGCAGGGGAGAAATTGCGCAAGGCCTTGTGGACCACAATGAATGAGGCCTGTGGCAGGACAGCGGGCAGGCGGATCCTTGGCAGGAAGGTCTTGGAAAGTGTTAGCTTGTTTGATCCCCACCCCCTGCCAAGCCTTTGACCCTGCTAAGATCTTAGTGGGTGGCCAATAATGTAGCAGCAGACACAGAAGTCCCAGAGTCATCACATTTTGTCACCAGGAGGAGGTTTAGAAATCACCTACCAACAATGAGCAAAATCCTGGAGAGACAGGTCATAACTCACCTGAGGTCACGTGGCAGGTTGGTGGCAGAGCCTGCCCAGAGCTTCCTTCACACAGTCTGAGGGCCTACTGTGCACCCCACCAGAAGTCTGAGCTCAGCCATAACTCCTCAACAGCAAGCACAGTGTACAGCGAGCACCACAGGTGCACAGTGAATACATTTGGGTGAATGGGTTTTGTCTGGAGACACAAACATACAGAAATAGTATCTGCCCTTTTAAAGTGCCATCTGGTTGTTGGGTAGACATAAAAATAAGTGATGGTAGCAGAGTTGCTAAGGGCTTCTCAAATCTCTGGTCCTCCTGTAGCCAGGCATCTATCCCCGACGCTGCCCTAGAAAAAGCCTCCAGTGCCTGCCCCGTTGCTAAGTCCAGTGGACATGCTAAATCCTCACAGGAGTGGACCATGAGCTCCCTGTCATCCTCCTAAAGGCACACAGTCCTTGGCCCACAGCAACATGGGTCGTTGCCCACCCTGTAAATGGTGCTGCCCCTGGGTTGTGCCTGGCCCACTCCTCACTCCCCTACAACCTCCTGAGCACCCTCAATCACTCCACTCTGGTGACTCAGTGACCAATCTGGCACAACCTCATCCAAAGCTCTGTCACTAGCCTGACCTGTTCTCTTCCAAGTTGCAAGGGCAAGTGTCCACCTGCATGGAAAGCTGCCAGGTACCCCAAGAACAACTTGCCTGCAACAAAGCTGCAACCAGCCCCTCTCCCTACCACAGGGCACAGCATCTCCATGTATCAGAGTTTCCTCCCCCTCGGTACCCAGTTAGCCACCAAGTCTCTCTCATCAACCTCCTAAACGTTCCCCAGTTCTGCATCTCCCACCCCTTCTCTACCTCTCATCTGGATGGGCTCCTCCTCTCCCAGGACTATTTTCCATTTAGCAGCCATCTGACCACAGCTCTTCAGTGTGTGGTCTCCGAGACCCTTCCCAGCCACACCTCCCACCTCTCTGCACAACGGTGTCCATGCCAGTGGATCCTCGCACACTCCAGAACCGTGCCTTTCCCTCTCATCACACTCGCCTCGCTGTGTTGTAATTGTGCTTCCATGTCCCCTCACTTCCCCAATAGGCTACGAACCACCATGTTTTGAAGGTTCATCTGTGTTGTGGCCAATGGTGGTACCTCATCGACTCTTATGGCCAAATAACATTCCACTGTATGGATTTACCACATTAAAAAAATCAGTTTACTAATTGATGGGCATCTAGATTGTTTCCACTTTTTGGCTGTTATAATTAAGGCTGCTATGAACATTCATAAACAAGTTTTTATGTGGACATACTACCTTACCTTCAGCTTCTGTAACAGATTACCATAGACTGGGTAGCTTCAACAACAGAAATTATTTCTCACAGTTCCGAAGACTGGAAGTCTGAGATCAGGATGCCAGCACGCTGGGGTTGGAAACAAGCCTCTCTTCCTGGCTTGCAGATGCTGCCTTCTTGCTGTGTCTACACGAGACAGAGAGAGAAGCTCATCTCTTCCTCCTCTTAGAAGGACACTAATCCCGCCCTCATGACCTCCCCTAAGCCTAATTACCTCCCAAGGCCCCGCCTCCAAAAACCATCACATGGGGGTTAAGGCTTCAATGAATTTGGGAGGGACACAAACACTCAGTCCATACGCATGTGTTTTCACTCTCTTGGGTAGAGAGCTAAGGGGTAGAACTCCTGGCTCATACAGTAACTATGTTTAACTTTTTCAGGAATTGTCAAACTACAGTTTCGGTCAAACACTGGTTTCCTACATTGGCTGCATTGTTGTGCACCCCCACCTGCAACGTGGGATGGTTTCTGTTCCCTACCACCTGCTGCAGCATCTGTTTCAAGCCTTCATTCTCCTCAAATCCCTAGCCCTCCCAGCCACCCCTCCTCCTAACAGGCAACCTCACCACCTCACAGAAGTAATGGAAGCCCCTGAACGTCCCACTGTCAAGAGCTTGGAGCTCCCTCTCTACATCCCCCCTGTCCTCCTTGCCCCTGGTACCTCAGAGGAGACATCTCTCCAGGGTACAGCTCATCTCCTCCCTTTTTTGGGAGAGAACCCACTATCATCGGCCTCTTTTCTCTCTTACTCATTTAGCTGCTGTCTCAGGTTGAATTCCACAGGAAATGGAGAGAAGTGGGTAGGAGGTTTACTGGGGGTGCTCTCAGGACCGACACCTGCGTGGGATGATGCAGGCCCACTCTAGGCCTCAGCTGACCCCATGGGAAATTCTGGGGCCAGGACACACTCAGTGTTGTCCCCCTATTGTGGCAAAGAGCCAAGGCCTGTAAATTGCCTTATCGACCAGTCACTGGATGAAGGCTGACTTGGGCACTTGGAAGGTGGTGGGCAGCCAGGTGCATGAATTTGGCAGAGGCTCTCTGCAGCCCAGGGCTTGCCCTGGAGAGAGGCTCAGGTGAGAGCCGTTAGCTGCCAACCCTCCTGCAGCTGGGGAAATGAGTGTTTCAGCCCTGCAGAGGGCATCTTGGTGGTATCCAGGGCATCCACTACAACATCTAACTGGCTCCTCCCTCTCACCATTTGCCGCCCTTACTCACTCTTCCACCCCCACACACCATCAGACACCTGAACTCTCCCCTAAACTCACCAATGACTTCACACTGATAACTGCTGGGCATCTGGGGGTCTTCATATCAATTTTCCTCTTAGGAGCATCCTGTCCTCCGCTGGCACTCCCTCCTTGGAAACGGTGTCTTCCTCTTGGCTGGCACACTGCCACATTCTCGATTGTCCTCCCACTCTGGCCGCAGCATCTCATCCTCTTCTGCTCAGCCGTAAAGGTCAATGTGCTTGGAGCCAGCCCCCCCCCTTCCCTTTGCAACCCCTCTTTGGATGATACTGTCCACCCAATGGCATCAATAGGACCAGGCCAGACTTCTCAGAGCTCCAGAACCCCCGTGTCCCGCTGACAACCTGATATGTGTCTGGGACAGTCTTCAGCCCAAGATTAGATTCATGAACTTCCCTAAACTGGTCCTCCAGGTTTTACCTGTTTCAGGAAATGGCTCCATTATCCCCCCAGGTGGACAAGCCAGAAACCTGCGAGTGTGGCCTTCTGCCCCCATCTCCCCCAACTCCACCCTCCACACCTGATATGTCCAAGTCCAGTTGGTTCCACCTCTCTGGTCCCACTACTTCTCGCCACCATTAGGGCCCCACTGAGTCTAAGGAGCTGATGTCTCCTACCTGGGCCACTGCAGCAGCCTCCCAGGCCCACCCCCTTCCCACGTTCTCTTTGTCCCCACTCCATCCGTCTTCATTTTAAAATGCAAACCTGATTTGATTATCACCCTGCTTAGAAATCTTTTCACAGTCCTCAGGAAAAGACTGCAAGTTTTAACACGGCCTCCGGGGCTCTGCGTGACTTGGCCTGTCAGCTCCTCAGCTTCCCCTCATGAGGCGGTGCAGCTTCGTGGTATGGAGCACAGGCTCTGAAGCCACACTGCCTGGATTCGCACCCACAGTGCTCCTGATGGGATTCTGGGTAACTGACTCACCCTTCTGTGTCCCAGCTTCTTCATCTGGAAAATGAGGATGGTGATGGCAGTACCAACCTCATATGGCGGTTGCGAGGATTACGTGAGATAATACCTTCAAGAACAGAGTCTGGCCAGAGTAAACACTCAGTAAACCCTTGCTGGGCCCGGTACCTTACCTGCTCTCCTGGTTTCTGCCTTGCCTCTATACTGACCTCCTATCGGTTTCCCAAATGGTTCATGCTCCCTCCTGCCCCAGGACTTTTATGTGTGCTGTGCCTCCCTGCAATTCTCTTCTCCCTTTGCTCAGTCATCTTTTAGCATTCCGCTCAGGTAACCCTTCCTCAGGCAGCTCCTCTGAATGCTCTGCTAGGTCAGCTTTCTTTGTTACAAACCATCAGAGGCCCACGTGTTTCTCTTTTCTCAGCTTGTCGTTTCACAATCATATACA